AGCAGCTGAAGAAATGGAAGGTGAGATCGGTCAAGGATAAGGTTCCTTTTGGAACATTCGTCGTTTCAAACAAATCCTCGAGAACAAAGTACGGGACCTGATTCTCAAGCCGAAGAAGGTCCCGCATAACAGAAGCCAACACGTATGAATTTTTTAGTAGGGTATCAGTCCGTGCAACCCCTACCATTTGACGGAGGAACTGAATGATGAAGCATCCATCAAGAACCATCTTGTCAGGTCCGCCGAAACTGTCGGTGCTCTCTGAGTAGCACTGTCGGATCATTTCCACTTTCGGCGCCACCATATCAATGAGGTCCTCGAGGCCAACACCGTGCGGTTGAGTTTGGTTCAGCATGCTGTGGAGGTATCTCCACTTGTGTTCCTGAAGCATTCCCAATTGCGCTTTCCCATGGTGGTACGGGCCAATAGAGATGATGTGATGCCGGCATGCCTTGGCGTTTCCTCCGGCATGTGCCTGGGCGACTCTGAAGATGCTACATCTGCTTTTGTGTGCTGATTCATTCAACAATTTTGACGCTGCTTCAATATCTTTTGACATGGAAGGCAATAACTGCTGCTTCACGAGCTCGATCTCATGTTTTTCGGCTGTTGCTTGACGACCTCCTCGGTTGTTGTCCATGCCGAGTTAAATTGTAGAATCAAGGGGAATTTCTTGCTGGAATTTCGATAGCTAGATAAAGAATCGAAAGGATATCCGAAGCACTGCAGTGTATCCTATGATTAATGTCAGGGACAAGCTTGACTTAAATGCAGCAAAGTCATCGACTGCTCATGAGTTGTTGGATGTCTGACAAGGATCGTTATCCTCGGCTGCTGATTGACAATCATCGTCAGGCGTTTGATCGAAAGTGAATTTTTCACGGCCGTCTGATTTGTAAAGGAAATGACTAGCGTCGGTAAAAGAGCAATGTCGATGGTGACGGCTCCATCATTTTTTTCCGGGAAATTATCAAATAAGGATCCAAAGTGGGTGCCTTTTTTCAAAAGAGAACCCCAAATGAACAAAGTATCAATTAATGACCCAAAGTGCCAAACTAGTATCAAATAAGGACCTGAGCTCACCGGCCGGCCAAATGTTCGTCGGCCGGCGACCGGCCGACATTTCCGGCACCGGAATAGGGGCAATTTTGTTCAAAATTTTTTTCTTTTCTTTTCCTTTTCTTTTTTTCTTCCCCGGTCGCCGGACCGGCGACCGGCGACCGGCCAGAGCTGAGGCCGGCGAGAGCTCGAGCTCGCCGGCCATTTGGGCGAGCTCGGCCGGCGAGCCTCGCCCAGATCCGGGCGAGCTCGAGCTCGCCGGCCATGGCGAGCTCCGCCTAGATCCGGGCGAGCTCGAGGAGGCCGGCCTCGCCCCGATCGCGTAGTCGAGGGCCTTGGCGGGGCCGTCGCCGGAGGCGATGGTGTGCGCGCGAGCTTGAGGAGGAAGGGCCCGAGATCCGGGTTGTCGAGGGCCGCATCGGGCGGGGCGGGGCTGGCGGCGGAGCCCGGGGACTCCGGGGGGGGCTTCCGTGGGGAGAACTTGGAGCGGGAAAGGGAGGGGGAGGGTGCCATGGCCGGCGAGCTCGAGCACGCTGAGACCGGCGAGAGCTCGAGCTCTGCCCAGATTTGGGCGAGCTCGACCGACGAGCTCTGCCCAAATCTGGGCGAGCTCCGCCCTCGCCGTCGCACAGCCATGGCGAGGGCCGGCCGGCGAGCTCGAGCTCGCCTAGATCTGGGCGGAGCTCGCCATGGCCGGCGAGGGCGGAGCTCGCCCAGATCTGGGCAGAGCTCGCCGGCCGAGCTCGCCCAGATGGCCGGCGAGCTCGAGCTCTCGCCGGCCTCAGCTCTGGCCCGGTCACCGGTCGCCGGACCGGCGACCGGGGAAGAAGAAAAGAAAAGGAAACGAAAAGAAAAAAAATTTTGGACAAAATTGCCCCTATTCCGGTGCCGGAAATGTCGGCGGCCGCCGGCACGGCGAACATTTGGCCGCCTAGTGAGCTCGATCCTTATTTGATACTAGTTTGGCACTTTGGATCCTTAATTGATACTTTGTCCACTTAGGGTCCTCTTTTGAAAAAATGCACTCACTTTGGGTCATTATTTGATAATTTCCCTTTTTTTCCCCGCTAATGGTGCTTTCCTAATCACACATTATTCCTTGGAAACAGACCTCCTTACTTCTCCGGTTTTCAAGAGAAAAATAATGTCTTTTACCTGCCATATACGGTTCTGATGCAACAATAAAAGGGAATTGAATTCAAGGATATTCTAATTGACGTACATACGGAGCTTGTAATGTGAAAACTATATTGTTCTACGCAAAATTCGAAACTTTTAAAATATTAGGTTTTAAAAAATTACAAAATATGCATGATTTTACATGTCTATATTTGTATAGTTTGAAAAGTTTCGTATGTTTATTGCTAAATAAAAGTCTAATTGTGAAAGCCGTTAAATTTTAAAAAAAAAAGTAAAGGTGACTCTTAATTGGCTTCATCAAATTGAATGACACTTCCTATCAATATTCATTCTTTGACCGTGTTTGTTTTGTCTAGTGGAGGACGCAAATAGGTCAACGTAACCTTCGACTCATTTAATCGTTCCGTGGTTGGATGCTTAATTCGTTTCGGTCCATTTAACAAGCAACACGACATAATCCGAGTATCTAGTTCAGTCATATGTATCCATTGGATCACTCAAAGCCAAACACGACATGGCAATAGCATGGATAACTTCTTTCAACAAAAAAAATTAACTTTTCGGTGGCTTTTATCTATGAAACTTGTGGCAATTTAAAAAATTATAAGGAAAAAATTTGCAAATCATGTTTATGATTTTATAATTAGAGTTTTGTTGCGTTATAAATTGCATCCAACATGTCACAGTTCGATTATTTTGTACTGATTAACAAATTAATCTTTTTGTACTGATATAGTATTTCATAATTTTTATAAATTAATCTTTCTAAAGTTTTTAAATTTTGAAGGAAATTTAAGTGTAAGAAGAATCATCCTTTCTACGTTAGAGATTACATCCTTGATATTAAAAGAATTAAAGTATTGGTTGCTTGGATTTGCATGGTTTCTTTCATTTACTTATAACTCCAATTCTCTATTATTGCGTCAAAACAATATATGACAAATGAAACTTTTCTTATTTTTCCTTTGAAAACCGGCTAAGCAAGTTGTCTGGTTCTATGAAATATTCTGTGATTAAGAGGGCATCTTGCTGGAGAAAGAATGACGGAGGTGACCCTAGCGTTGCTCTAAACAAAATGACAACGACAAGCGAAATGGATTCCATGGCCAGTCAGAATCGGCCTTTCTGGGTAGATTAGACCTATATCCCGTAGAACACGCGTACTTGTAGAAAATGTAAATAAGGGATCGAATATGTAAATATTCATTACTAAATTGTGCTTAGATCAACAAATATCTACATGAATACATGATGACATTATTGTATGTATATACTTTTTGGTAGAAATAAATCAAAATACTTTCGTCGTATCTCCAATACATTGACTTCTTACAGTATTTCAATTATGTATAACTTGTCATGTACAAAAAAGATATTCTTAAAATAGGAAGTAGTTACAAATAAATAGTTGATTTAAAGTCTTAATCTTTCATATATATATTTATATATATTATACCTATAAATGCATGAAAAATTGATTATCTACTTTCCATGTTCTAAAATTACCCTTCTCAATTGTGAAAAATAAGAAACTGACACGTGTTTCTCTATGTTTGGAACGCTTCGTTCCATCATGGAGGCTTGCTTCACATCCTTTGTTCTTGCTTCATTTACATGTAAACATGTTCATTTTATTTCGCAGAAAATAGATGATTCGAAAAATATTTTTCTAAAAATAATTACTTGTATCGCTTGAAATAATTAGTCAATGAAAAATATTTTCATCACCAAAAATAATTTATGTTTGAATATTTTTGTACATAATGAAAATAATTGTCGTTTATTCATTTTTTTTGTAAGTGATACAAGCAGTCATTTTGAATCATTCCATGAAACAAACGCACCCTTATTTTAAGTTGGACCATTAAAAATCTCAAATTGGCATTCTCATATTTAACATAAATTAATTTTTTTTCTTTTTCCTTTTTTTTTCTTTTATTTCTCTTTCGTTTTTTTTTCTTCTCTTCTTCTCTTCCTCTAGTGGCCGATTGGCGGCGACTAGCTAGAAAAAGAAGAAGAAGCGAAGGAAAAAGAAAGAGGAAAGAGGAAGAAAAGAAAAGAAAAAGAAAAGAAAAATAATAAATAGAAAATTAAAAAAATAAATATTATTAAAAATTATCCAGGTTAGTGCCGATCACGCCACGTAGGATGGCCGGCGTCTATGTCAGTGATTTCCAAACAAAATTGATTGGATGGACTGAATTGATACAAATGCAAAAGATTCGGGACTCAATTGGCCAAAAAAGAAAAGTTTATGATTGAATTGACATAATTATAATAGGTTTAGAACTTTTTTGGTAATTCTCCCGAAATATATACATTAGCGGCTTCAAACTGGTCTTGAAGTTTTCTCAATTCTTTTGTAACTAGCGCTCTTTATGGGCGGAAAAGTTCATGTATTTGTCACACAAGTATTTAGCATGGCTAGTAAAATAAAGCCGATGTTGCACCAGTTCACTTTTTTTTTTTTCGTGTAACTTTAATTTTAATAGTTCTAGAGCACGGTTTAATCAATTAAACTTCATAATTTTAAAATTTTGGGAAAAAATTGCACCGTTTTGACCCGGCTGGTGCTACTAGTGGCTAGGCCTTGGGCCGGGTGGGTTCCAAATTCCCGAAGGAACTGGATTGGCGGTTCCTGCTCTGCCCTAGCGATCACCACTTTAGTGATGCATAACTATTCAACCATTTATTCAAGATCGATGTGGCCACGAGAAAAGTATCAACAACTCTAAAGATTCATTGAAAACAGTGTCAATACATGTAATGGAATTAGTAAGGAAGATGTAGCTTGCTGCCTGCTACTTGGGCTGATAGTATTGCAACAGAGCGTACACTGTTTGAATCACGCCTGTAAGCGTCACTAAAAGAGTTATCACCGAAATAGACACCTCTGGGTTGGAAAAATATACTTCTTTCAGGACTGCTTTCCAAATACGAAACGGGGTATACCAATCGCGGAGTTGAATCGACGCTAGATAGGTCCCCTGGATATCGCATGAAGCATCCTGACAGATCTCACGGAAGAAGCGTGCAACATCCTTCTTGCGCCCATGGAAATCCTGAATGACTCCACTGTGACACAAAAGTTGTGCATCCTCTTCTGTTTGAATGAGCTGTCTCATGAACATGGCATAGGCGGTTACATGCTTGTTGCATTGGCCATGACACTGTTCAAAAGCAACCATATTGAGGAGGATGCAAATGAAAGTATCATCGACTGTTAGTGTCGGAATCTTAAAGCATTGGCTTTGAGAATTAAATTTGATGTCCAGGAAGGTGCTGCTGGCTCTTGTTGGCCACAATCTAATTCCCAGTCTACGGTAATTGGAAGCAGATCCGATGATTTCAAAACCCTTGGAACCAGATCGGACCGATGTATGAGATGAGCTCCTGCTTTGTTGATCCCAAGGAATTAAGCTTAGACGAATTAAATCAAGTAAATGCACTGCTTTTGGATCGATAGGTCTCGCTGAGCGACTATCGTGTATTTTCAGGACGTCTTTGAAGAAATTGAGGGCAAGATCGGCCAAGACTTCTTTTGGAACACTAGTGATTTCCATCAAATCCTCGAGAACAAAATATGGGACCTGGTTCTCAAGCCGTAGAAGGTCCCGCACAAGAGAAGCGAACACGTATGAATTTCTTAATAGGGGATCGTCGGGATCAGACGGTTCGGATAGTCGAAGGTTCCCCCGAAGAGAAGCGAACTTGGATGATGTTCCTAATAGGGGATTGTAGCTAGGATCGGATCTCTCTCTTCGAAGGAGGAGCTCGATGATGAAGCATCCATCAAGAACCATCATTTTCACAAGATCAGGTCCGCTGAAACTGTCGGTGCTCTTCGAGTAGCATTGCCGGATCATTTCCTCTTTGGGCGCCACCACATCGATGAGGTCCTCGAGACCGATACCGTGCGGATGGATTTGGTGCAGCGTAGCGCGGAGGTATCTCCACTTGTGCTCCTCAAGCATCTGCAATTGTGGATTCCCATGGTGGTACGGGCCAATAGAGATGACGCGAGGCTGGCACGGCTCGGTGTTTCCTCCAGCAAGTGGATGAGGGACACTGAAGATGCAACAGCTGCTTTGGCCTGCTGATTCTTTTAATAGTTTCGGCACTGCCTTCAGATCTTCAGACATGCAAGGCAATAACATCTGCTTCATGATCTCGATCCCACGTTTGTCGGCGGTTGCTTGATGACCTCCTTGATTGTTGTCCATGGGCAAGTAAAATTGTAGAATCAACGTGAACTTCTTGCCGGAATTTCAGTAGCTAGAGAGAGAAATGAAAGGATATCAGTAAGTGCAGTGTATCCATGAAAAACGTGAGGGATGTAGACATTTTAAAAGGCCATGGAACAAGCTGTAGCGGCAAGTTGTTACTTAGTCTAGTTTATTTCTGAGATTGTTAATTGAAGGGAAAATAACACAAATACTTATCGAACTTTGGCTCAATATATAATATGATCCCTAAACTTTAACCCAATTTGCAATATCTTTCCTGAATTTTATTTTGTTCAATAGGGTCCCTATACTTTTGATATATTTTCAAGTTAATCTCCAAACTATATTAAACATCCTTCCGTCAAATCAAGTTTAAGAACATTATTAAATATTTTCATATAATTCAAGGATAAAATTGGAAATATACTAAAATTTCATGGATTACATTGAATAAATTGAAAGTTCAAGAACCAGATTACATATGGGACTAAAATTCAAAAATTATATTAAACAAACTAAAAATTTAAAAATTATATAATCAAATTTCATAGATCATTTATGTCAATTTTTCCTTGATTGAAAACAAAAGAGGGCTCGACTTACATGCGGCAAAGTCGACGAGGCTTTATGAGTTGTCGACGAGGCTTTATGAGCTGTCCAAGGTCAGTGACCGGCTTTGGAGGGCATTTTCTAATACGAAAGGACATATCCAAAAACGCGTGGGGCCAAATGAAGACGAGTAAAGCGCCGGCGCGGTTCACTCATCCTTGACTCGAAAGCGCGTGGGCCCAAAACAAAGCAGTTTGCATTGATGGATTTTGATAGCCATTTTCATACCAAAAGGTAAATTCACAACTTAAATTACCCCAAAAAATTAAATAATAAATCACAGGAAGCAATTCTCTTATTTTTGTTTAGGGAGTAAATATAAATCCTATTAAAAAATATTACAAATCGACACATTGTGAATATCTAGTGACTCGGATTGGATGGGGCTATTTCCACCCCTATATGACTAAGTTCACTCATTTTTTACTAGACAGGCAAGATCGACTTTAACGGGTTCCATCTTCGCACATTTTCCTTTAACTTAGTTATTTTCTTCCTATGGTTTTTCGTGAAATTAAAACTTATTGCTATCTAGAAATAAATAAAAATTAGTCTTTTCTCCATCATTGCTAGTTTAGTTCTCGTCCCTCCTTTATCATAAGATCATTTTTTTAGTGAACTTTTTATTTTTTAATTTCATTAATCTAAAAAGAATCAAGTATGTTAATTCACTATGTCAAAGAATTTTTTATTTTCCCTTATGATTGGTGAGACACTTTTATACTAGCATGTAAGACATTATAAGGGTATCTAAAAAGGGTTGCGTTTTTTCCACTCCTACTTTGACTAAAACACTCTCCAACAAAATATTGTGACCATTTTGTCCATTGTGGGTCCCACCTTTCAGCATCCTTTGCATTCTCTTAGCGTCCTTTTCTTGGAATATTCTTTTGCGGGTCTTACTTTCTTTCATCTTCACCCTTCTCTTTATCTCCCTCCTTTCACTTTCTTTTCTTTGATGTTTGAGATGATTTTTGCGTCGTTTTTTATTGTGGGTGTTGGATAAATTGATTAAATTCGAAGTGTTGGTTAAAGTTGAGTAATGTGGTAATTTTCGTTGTGATGGGTTTAGGTCAATGAATCTGAAGGTGTTTTTTCTTTTTTTCCTTCTTTCATTTCTTTTTTTTTATTCATTCCTTGTTTACTATTGAATCTGATTAAAGTTTATGCTTTTGAGGATAATCTTGAGTAAGGCCTTTTGGCATTGCTGAGTTTCTCTCATTCTTGGGATTATATTAGTTAAAGTTTTTGAAATTTAATGGGGAAGAGTGGAAAGAGAAAAGCGGGTCTTTTTCGATCCTATAGAGTTTTGGTTTCACCAAGTGAAAAAAGGTTTATCATCCCATTAACTTCTAACGATTGAACTTAGTGATTTCTTTGACTCTGTTTTGATAAAGCATGCATTTGATTTTTTAAGTGAATTTTGAATATTCTTTTCATTGAAAATTTCCCTAGATTGGTTTGCATTGACCTCTTTCTTTTCTGCAATCTGTTTGGCAGAATGATTTCAAGATGCACATATTGATCTAGTTATGGTTCAGACTAAGTAAATGATGAAGGGTTTTTATCCAATAAATTTCAGTTTTCTTCTCATTTCAATAGGTTTATTGAAATTTTTTACCATTTTGTTTGCGATTCTTGATAAAGTGGAAAACAAGTGGGCACGCCCAACCCATTTTCGCATATTAGCTAGTAAAATCTATTGGTGGTGGTGCAAAGTCTGGTTAAATCCCTCCTCTGTATTATATTGTATTGGTTTTGAATAGAGAAGGGCTTCTGTATGTTGCACAACTACCAATTAGACCAAGAAAATATCATTCATCTGAGTTTTATGCTTTTACGGAGGTGCTTCTGGTGGAATTTTCTTTACAAGAGAGAGAAAGAGAGAAAAATGCTGAAAGGTGGGATGAAGAGGAAGGAAAGTGGGACCCGCAAAAAAAACCAAAAAAAGACACCAAAGGAAGGTTTAAGATGCTAAAAGCTGGGACCCACAATGGGTGAAATAGTCAAAACACTTTTGTTAGGGAGTGTTTTAGCAAAACTAGGAGTGGAAAAAGAGTTACTCTTTCATTAATTATCCTTGTGTTCCTATAGACAAGAAACGAAATTTCCTTCCAAAATTGCCAATCCCCAAATCCTAAAATCTCACACCGACCATAGAGACTCAAAACCAATTAAAAAAATATGTTTCTTTTTCCATTTTTAGATTTTACTTCTGTAGAAATTAGTTTTGTCGAGAAGATAAAATTCGAGAAAACCAGTTCTTTTCTATACTGTCAAGCAAATTTATGTAATAATTGTCAAGTAGAATCTAGAAAAATTTTAACATAAACAACCTTTTAACAGGGTCACATGTTTATAAAATTTTATATTTGTTGTGTATATCACCATCATATCTTTTCTTACAAAATTGTCTTTTATACATATATGGTAAGAACTTTGGCTTGTCATCTGGAAAACATCTATTATATATATATATATATATATATATATATATAATGGGATGATCGGATGCAAAAAAATAAAACATAGAAAAACCTCTTTGAAGATTTTCCAAAACAAAATCACAGTTACATTTTCCAAAGTGAAGGTATATATAAAAGATGAAATTTAATTATAGAAAAATTTACATTAAATAAGAACTTTTTTAAAATTCTAGTGAAATTTCATTCATTTGTGATTGACAAAAGTTTACATCATTCACGGAGTATTTACAAAAAAATATCAAAATGCCCCATGTCAATAACTTGTTCATATCAATGTCTTTAGTGTTTTTTAGAGGGTCGCGCTTTTTCCACCCTTCCTATGGCTTAGACGCTCCATTTTTTGTTATTTTAACCATCATATCCCTTGTGGGGCCCATTACTTCTGCTACAATTTTATATGATATCTTTTTTATTATTTGATCAATTCTTTTTATTTTGTTTCTTCTTTTTTTTCATACAAGTCCCATTTCAATTTTCTTCTTTCTTTCCATGCCTCCCGCTCGTTTCTCTGTTTTTTCTCTCACAGGCCAGTTTCTTCTTTCTATGCTTCCCACTCCTCCTTCTTCTTCTTTTTCTTCTTCCACAAACCCCATCATCCTTTGTTTATTATCTATGATGCCAACCCCGTCGTCCTCTACACTTTTGCTGGTATCGGCATTGGGCTCACTGATGACATCCCCAACGAGCCCCTTTTATCCACACGCAAGCCCTCTTCTAACTTGAACTTTTCATAGTAGAAAAGATAAAAACCCTATTATCCATAACAGTGGCGCAATAAGAGATTTTTCCATTGAAAATATGACTTAATCACCTGTCACGGATAGTGATTCTCTCGTACTCTTGTACCCTTGTGAGTGGTGCTCGGGATTATAGGGTGCAAAGTGAGGACGCAGAAGTGATGAAATACAACTGTGTCGTGGGAGTGGTGTGAGGACGGTTGGTGCTAAGAGTTCTAGGATAGAAAGAATATACCATTGGGAGCTCTCAAGGAGAGGTTGGTCTCCCGTGCACAAACTGGTTGGAAGCTGATGCCGCTCTCCTGATAAGATCATGACAAGCCGAAACTAGTTATCATACTTAAAGTATTTTGTGCATCTCGCTCGATAGACTAGACACTCGAGCTATGCGGGGTATGGTACGATTTGATACGAGAAAGCTATTCGTCGTATTATTCTTTGGAACAACTAGAGAACGAGGGCGGGCTTGGTGTGAACGACGCGCCAGGCGCCGCATAGGCTATTTCGCAGCCAAGGAACTATCGGCCCATGACAAATGGTATCAAAGCAAGATCATCTAGTAAGTGGATGAGTCGAAGAAAACTTATGATCTACCCGGTCCTATGAGGCCGGAGAGTGAATTACCGGAGCCAAAAGATGCTCGGGCAAAGTATGGCTCTCGACTTGCTTCTAGGATGACAATGGGGGAATGGGAAAGAACTGATTCCTCACTGAATAGGGAAAACGTTCCTGGATCAATTTGGAAAGTCTCAATATGGGTCTTATACACATTATCAACAAGGAGAAAAACCTCCATTAGTCTACTCAGATCATGAGAATTCCAAAGTAGGCAAAGAATGGTGTTGCCAAAAAGGTGCAGTTAGCAAAAAATGCCACACTTGTCAGGGAAAGCACAAGTGACCGAGGGTGCTGAATTATTTTGATAGAGAAAAAGCTGTTGGCTGGGTTCACTTCCGTGCGGAGGAAGCTCAATGAATTGCAAGCCCAAGGCTTGAGCCCATATGTCTATTCATATGGAGAAATAGGGCTTTCTCACTATTATTATGATTGGCCGCAAAAAGAACGTTTTAGAGAGACAGTAATAAGAGAGAAAGAGAGTAGAAAATCTGGGTTTGAGGATATATCTGATGCTAACGTCGGAGGTCGATTCGTGGTCCGATTGAGC